GGAATTTTTGCTTTGAGAAAAAGTTGTCCTGCCAAGTTCAGAGAGGTAAGTATCACGTTCTGTGTGAATGTAATGCAATGTATTATCAATGTTGCCATTTTTCATCGGTATGGTAGTAATGCCGCTTTTATTACGTGCCTCGAAAAGGTCCTTAATAATGACTTATACATATGTATATTTAATATTTTTAGAATTCTCCATCCAACACATACTACGATATGTCCGATTATGTAAAATCCACTCCACATAAATCAATGCGCGACGTGCACAACAATGATCATCATCTACAATTGTGTCAAGAGTGCAAAATGCATGAAGCGCGCTTTGTATGCGCCGGTTGTGGCAATCAATGGTATTGTAGTAGGGAGTGTCAGGTATGTTTATGATGGATATTTATGTAAATACATTTTAAATTTGTTTTTTTTCTCGTTGGTGCTTTCAGGTTAATGCTTGGGATAACCATTCAGAAGTCTGCAGCGAGTGAAGATTTGGAAAAAAAAAACAATTACAAGTAACTGCTTTTGACGCTGTAAACGTTTATGTGTTTTTTTCATAAAATATTATACTAAATACACTTGTATGTCTTTAGATTGTAGATTTTCAGCATATTTCCTAAAGTTTCCAAGACTTATGGCATCTTATTACTAAAAAAGGAACAAAATTCAATAAACATAAACCACATAGCATTACATATGTATACACATTGCATTCTCACATGAATACATATTCTGAATATCTCCCTCGACGACTCATTTACGAAGTGGTACTATTACGCTAGTAAAGCACCCCTAACGCGAGTGTCGACTAGTAGTAGATAAACGACTATTACTCGATTATCCATGGTATTTTCAATGTCGTTTTCTAGTTCAATAAGTGATTGTGAATAGTTTTTAGTCGCTCATCCTTCTACAGTTTAAAACCGAATTTAGTATGCATTTCGCATACATTTTATTAATCTAAATTCTTTAAATCGGTGGAAACTACACCTCGGCAACATGGGAGTCGCATGTGCGAATCTCCGTGTGGAGCCTTTGGACGCGGCAGACATTGCTTTGACGTGCCTCAATCCGACGAATTCGGTTTAAGGGTTCACTGGAGTCTGAAACATCTTTTCATCATGAAGTGCGGCTTCATTCCGGTGCCTGTCTCTCGGGAAAAGCGTTCGCGTAAATATACATGCAATAAAAATTGTACCAGTTTCTGGTTGTGCGCTGGGTGTAGGTACCGGTCGCGAAAGAAAATGACTGCAATGAATAGTGCCTCGGATGCGACCCCCTTTGATGACGACCACGGTGAATATTGAAGGACTTATGATTTGAGGAATATTCGCACCTTTGGCTCGGCTGCGGATGCGATACTCGGGACAGGTTAATAAACACGACGGAAATGGCGACATCTGCTACACTTGCCACCTCAAAGAGCGCTAATTCTGTGTTGGATTTGTGTTGGGAAGAGGCTTTATCGCCGAGCATTGTTGTTCATGCCAGTGAACGCTGTCCCGACACGAGATTAAAATTCTACCTTACGATTTTAATACCAGGATGAGTAAGGAGATGATTTTTGGTCGCATCGTTGGAAAAATGTATCTCCATGAAGAAACCACCGATAATGTATTTAGGCTGATCGACTTCTCCGAAGCCCGAAAAATGGTATTGTGTAGTATTTGGCTCAGTCGTAAGAATATCGATCAATCTATTATTATTATTATTCGAAAAACTCAATCACAGCGGACAGCCAACGGCCACGCTACGATCGGACGCAACTCTAGCTGTGAGAGACTGTTACATTGGGTTGAATAGGAAAGCGAGACGTATTGTAAGCAATTAAAAAAGAGAAACACAGTTACGTGAATGCGAAGGGCACGCTGTGAAAATGCTAGGGAATCAGAGCTCTTATTTTGAATTTGTTTTCAGTAACAGTGGCCTTATTAATATCATCTCTGCAAAAAATGGCTAGTTGGGATCCTAAATTCCCAATATTTCTAGACGATAGGACGTTACCTCTGCCATAGACTTCATCTAATGTAAAGTTTAGGAGAGTACGCTCGTCGCCTGTTCTATGGAGATGAGCAGTGGCTTTACATAGTTTCAGAACTACCTATAGTGCTGTCGTCGGGCATGCGGTGGGAGACAACATGAGCGTGGCTTACGTGGCGTGACTCACTGCCCCATAGGACACCATTGGTCGTACTATCATGGGATACATCTTAGGATCTTGAGGCCGCACCCTCATTCGTATAGTAATTAATTATGTAAAAATTTGTATAATAATTTTAAATATTCGCTTTATTAAGAATTAAAATTCAGATACATATATTACTGGATTTGATTCGAGGAGAAAAATATCGTGTTCCAATCGGCGCAATTCCTTTTCCAAATTTGACTTTCTCAACCGCTTCGAGATGGTATCAGTATAGAGTGAACCAGCTTGGTAAGCTTTAAATACATCATTAAAATGTTGTTTAAGACCCTGAAAAACATTAAAATTAAATTAAAAAGCTCTTCATAAATTTACGTTCAGAAAACGTTTCAAAAACGTGTTTTTTTTTCTTTAAATCTGAGCTATTCCCAACCATTGTAATACCACTCACGTGAGTTACACTTCCTTCTTCCTCTTACCATCAATATATTCTCACGCTCCTCTGGCGGCAATTGGCGTATAGGCGCTTCATTGAATTTGCAGCGTTCTGCCATTTGAGTCTGCTCCATTCTGCATGCCTCAAGCATATGCCGCTTATGCGCACGCAAATAGCAGGGTACCTTACCAAAAACTCCCGAGCATACATATTGTGGCACAAGTCCGGAATTTTGCAACTTTCTTGGAGTGCCTGTATGAAAATCTATATATTGCGGCGGATGCCATTTGGCCGCTGCATCCTTAATGCAAAGTACATTTTTCTTGATAAAATTCACTTTCTTCTTGTCCTTGTCGCGCTTCTCCTTCTTCAAATCTTCCAAGCGTGGTACTGGCAACATGAGTGCGTCACGTTTGGGACAGGTATGGTCTCGTTTACGTTGCCACTTGACGCCGCCATTTTTGCGCAGAAATTCGCATGGCTCACGCAATGGTGTCTCGCTGTAGCCCATTGTTTTATGTTCGCTCTTTTGTGAACCAGTTAATAATTGTTTGCCATCTGG